TTGTGTTTCCCTCCCCCACGTGCTCCATGTCCTAGTTTTTCCCCCAGGTTTGATTATGCCCTTATTTGGTCTGTCCTGTTCCTGTTCCCATTATGTTTATTTAATTCACCTGTGTCCTAGTAATTACCCTCGTTTAGTCTTGTGTATATATATAGTGGTGTCTGTTCTTGATTTCCTTTGTCCGGTATTGAATGTTCATCAGTGTGCTACGTGTGTGTCTGCCTGTCCTTTGATACCCCGAATTGGAAGATTAAAGTTGTAAAATTAATCGAATGCGTTAACGCGTTAACGATGACAGCCCTAATTATATTATATTATATTATATTATAATATATTACATTACATTACATTACATTATTGTAAAATGTAATTAGAAATGAAGGTTAAAATGTGTAAAATTTGCAAAAAAAAATTATGTGGCATGGACACATTAAAACTTTATCTTTGGTTCACTTCATTAATTAACTTTAATAACTCTAAAATGTATTTTAAAATATTTAATTTATTTTTTATTTTATATTTTATGCATAATTTGTTCAGTTTTTCGAGGTTAAATTAAGGTTAAAAGTGTAAAAATAAACACTCATGATACTAATAATTTACATTATGTTCTTGTATTTTTTATGTATATATTTATTTTTAAATAAATGTATTCATTGATGTTATGCTTATTATATGTTATAATATTTTCTTTCCTTTTGGATAAGTCTGTATATTATTACTATTTTCCATTATTAATGTTTTATTTAATAATAAATTAAGAAAAAGTTTGGTGAAAGCACAAAGCAATTGAAAGAGAGACAGAGAGAGAGAAGGTTGTGTGATTTGTGTGTAGATGCTGTGTGTTTAGAGGCACAGGTGACCCTCCATGTTCAGTAAGAGGCCGCGAGTGCTCATCTGCTGATCTTTCCTCTGGCTTCATCACCGCAGGGGAGACTCATATTGCGTGAGGTGTCTCTCCTTGCCTGGCCCGTGAGAGGTGAATGTGTGTATGTATGTGTGAAATGGCTATGCTGTAATGACTGCTGTGGCACTCTGTTGACAGTAAAGGTCGGTCATGTGGAGCACATTAAGCCAGGACCTTTAGGGAATGCACACAAACACAATGAGTGAGAATGAGTGTGTATATGTGGTTCTGTGTGTCATGTGAGTAGCGACTGTACTATTGAGAAGAACATAATGGCTGCCTCTCCACCCACAGCGATTAACACAGGAACTCTATTATTACTGCCGGACAACAGTGCTTAAGAGATCATTAATATGGTGATTACTGAATTTGATCTTTTAATATTACTGTTTTAAATATATTAAGGCACTTTAAGTGTTTTTCCAGCATTTTGTCACACTGTTTAATAATTGAAATACTGCCGCGGTTGCTTAATATGGATTGCAAATGGCCAAAACTTACATTTTGTTCACATGCCTTTGTTTTATTCTTTTGAGAGGTGATCTAAATATTTTCGGCTGTGAAAGTTAGTAGAATGTCTAAAGTGGACTATCGAAATAAAGTGTAACCTAGATGTTTTGCCCTCCAGGTCTTCAAGCCGGTCACGTGACTGAAAGCTATGAAGGCTGATCAAAAATGTAGTAAAAACTATTGTCAAATATTATTATAATTTTAACTGTTTTCTATGTTAATATATTTTAAAATGCAATTTATTCCTGTGTTGGCAAAGCCAAATTTTCAGCAGCCATTACTCCAATATTTTTTGATGAATATAAAGGAAAACTGAAAAAAATGCATTTATTTGAAATTGAAATCTTTTGTAACATTATAAATGTCTTTACTGCTGAATAAAAGTTTTTTATTTTCCAGTCTGTTTTTGCACAAAACAGAAAGGAAGCAGAAAGTATCGTTGCGTCTACAAGAAATGCCAGAAGTGGTGTTTCATACCTAAAGGAATCAGTTTTTTTGAACAAATTGGTTGAACGAATGATTCACTGACTCACTCACAAACACAGTCACTTGATTTGTTCATAAATGAATCGGTGTTTTTGAACAAATTGGTTAAATGATTCACTGACTCAATCGTCATCACTGCAATGAACCTGCAGAAAAGTCAGAGCGTTTTGATTAAACTTAAGGATCCAAACTAACTGTTGTATAAAATACAATAATAATTTATATGGAAAAGAGGCCTGTTTGGGTTGAAAAGAATAATGATATAATATAAATACTTTCAGGGCAGTACTATTTCAGCACAAGTAGCACTTTATTAAACTGGTTAATGGTTGGTTCGTGAATAAAACTGGTTATTTGCACTGAACTAAGTGAGGCAGCTGTTGAATGTAATGAATTTGACCCTCTGTGTTTCTCTTTGTCTGTAAATCTCTCTATGGACTGTTCAAATCGGTTGCCTGAGCGCAATGAGTTTTTAAGAGGATTTTGATGTCGGACAGCGGGACTTACATTTTATTTATCCAAGAGGCTATATGCTTGCACATAGATGAGTCATTTAGATGTGGACATGGGCATCATTTGTGATATTGTCTCTCAGTGGGGGTTAATGGACGACGCAGCGTGTGGCGAGATTGTGACGGCTAAATCGTATCGTGTCTCTATCGTTGACCTTATTATAGGAACATTATGGTGCACTTTGACCATCTCTAATATTTTAATAGGTTTGATCCTTCTGCTTTCGGCAAAGCCTGTGTGTTTGTCTGAAAGGTCTAATTTCACAGGAAATATTCAGTCCAACCTTCTCTAAGATAACTGAGAAGTCAGTCAGCTCTGGCAACAGAACAATCTATTGTATTGCACCATCAGAGACACATTTTAAATGAATCTGTCTCGTTCATGACTGACAGTTAATTCTTTAATTACACAAAGTTTTAGAAGCAACATTCAACATCATGGTAAGTTGCTATGGTTGGATGGGGCCTGACAAGAAAAGAAATTAAAATGCTGTGCAACTTGCATTGTATTGGTTTTTAGTCAAATCACTTTCTTTTTTATAAGATGTACTTAAAGATTTCTTGAGGAAGGATGAACCAATTTGAGTCATTCTGTGCTCTCTCTTAAGAGACAAAAGACAGCAATTGAGAGTTCTAATGAAAGTATTGATCAGAGGCCCATCTCAGGCTATTGAGGTAGATGGAGTTTGTTTGGTACATAGTTGCAGCTCTTGCATGGTTTTTTGTTTCAGAGTATCTTAATGGCTCTATATTGTGTAGTCATGTTGAAAACAGGCCCATGGTTTTCTGCTGATATCAATACTGAGTCTATATCTGGCTATGTTCAAGTTACATCAGTATATGCATCTGTCTGCTGTCAGTTCATTTCAGGCTGATTCATATTAGTCTGTTTTCTTTATGTCTATTGTCCATTTTCCTTGCCAGCTGTTAATAAGTGGTGGGTTGAAACTAATATATACATTAGTAAATATTCTGTGCGTTGTAAAAAATTAATTGGTGAGA